GTCAAGTTGCTACATAAGTTCTTTTTCCTAGGAGTGACAAGCAAGATGCGGCAGGAAAACATATTCCACAGGAGGGCATGCTGTGTACTTCTGAACACTCTGGGCAACAAGCCATAGGCAATGTTACTGGGAAGTGTGCACGAAAAATGTAATCAACAAAATCAATCCATCAGCTCCCATGACTATTCAGCACAGTGTTATAACAAGCACCAGAATCAGATGAGACGCAACTGCTACCCAAAGGCTGCTAATAGTGGGAATGCATTTCTGATCTGGACACACCATGTTTTCAACTTCTGTCCATGATCAGCCATGCTCAGACCATTGCTTATAGCTAGCCATTCTTCTGCTTCTCTCTCTCTCCCCCACCCCACAACCAAGTGGTAGGAAGCATAGGAAAGTATTTTCATGGCTCAGTTCAAGAAAAAGGCCTGAGTTCCACTTGATTCTTACATGGAGCAGGGTGATGGCTGTTTTCTTGTGGCACTGCTCCTGGTAAAAGCAGACTTACAAAGCAAATGGGCCCATGGGAATTGTATGGGGAGAACTGCACCAGCATTGAAGGCCAGATCAGGGCAGCCTTACACTTGGTTCTGCACCTCTTGCCTTATTTATCTGCATTCACATTCCCTGCAAGAGCACTGCAGGGCATCAGCCAGGAGCAGGAACCCTAATTCTTCCACTATGCTCCCATAATGTAATATGATCCCAACATGTAGCTGGGGGCAGGAAAGCTCCTGTAGACTGTTTACACCACGGATGAACATGTGGCATGCTGCTGTACTACAACTCCCATCATCACTAACGTTGGCTCCCATTCCATGTTGGCTGGAAGCTGCAGGAGCTTAAGCCCCACATCTGAAGAATGACAGGTTCCCCACCCCTGGTTTACACCTAGGGAAATTTTCCATCAACAGACTCCTACAGTCATGCTTTTCTGGAAGCATGTTTACAGATTAAGAAGAATTAGAAGCAGCTGTCAGGTTGTTATCCTCAGAACAGTCAATGCAAACCCCAGACCATGACAAGCTTAGAGGTGTTTAGGCTGCTTCTGCCCAGGATCTGCTGCCAACAATCCTGATAGTCTGTTTCAAAGTGCTATTGTGGATGCAGAAACCACCGCCGTATCCAGTGTAGTCTGGCCTGTCAAACAGATGTGCACAGGCTTGCACTGTGCAAAATAGTAAGACAGATGAGCAAAGGAAGCTTACTGGCTTGAAGTAAATATTTTAAGTTCCTGAAAAGTTACTCTTCTTATGCAGCATGAAGCCATGGCAGGTATTTTTACTCAAAGGCCAGCATGGATGTCCCAGTCCAGATTGAACTTTCGCCCCACTGCTGCGGTGTCACAATATGAACTAGGGCCCTGCATTTGCTTAGAAAAGACTGAACTGGTTCACATCTAACTACAATCCAGAGTACAGGTTGTTGCCTTTCCCAGGCATTAGCCTTGATCTGTCAGCCAGATAGTTAGGCAAAGTCAAGCTGCTTTTTCAATTCCTGGGTTGTTTCCCCCCTTCACATACTCCATTTCTGTATCCCAATTGCCTTTAGACTACTGGCACATAGAACACCTGCTTGGGGACCCCGTTCTTGCTCATCACCTCCATAGCCTGGGAAAACCCATGGTTTTGTGTTTCACACATAAAGACAACCTGAAAACAACCTGGAATTTGCAACCTGTAATAAATCACAGGTTCTTTTCCAGGGTTGTTCATAGTTAACAACACAGTTAATCTACTGTTCTGGGATTGCACTGGGATCACACAGAACAACCATACTCTGAATTGTCATTATGTGTGAACCAAGTCAAAGCTTTCCTGAAGTGAAGCTTTACTTTCTTATGCAGATTGCAGATGCAGGAGCCCCCATGACCCAAATCAGGGCCAAAAGTGGAGGGAAAACATTTAATTCCCCCCAATTATGTCATTGATCCAGATGAGGTTCCCTCACACTCATGTTTGAATAATAGTAAGACACACGTATTAAAACTGACCACTCATTTGGCTTTCACTTGCACTGTGCAGATGCAAATTGCTGGCAACTTTGGAAGACCTCCTCTGTTCCGCTCCTGCCTGCACACATGCATCTCTGGTAGTCTGTGGCACTTGTGATCTGTGGGTGCAAACTTCACAGCTTAAAAAATACCCCTAGGGCGCCAAGGGAGAGCATCCTGAATTGCACCTCCACTTTATTTCCCGTTTCATCTGGACTGGCTTGGGAGCACCAATCAGCCCAGCGAGGACACAGCTTTTATTTGTGTTCCTGACGGATACCGTGGGAGTGGTACTGTGGAGAAGAGCAGAGACTACCTGAGTCCTCTCAGGAATTGGCACATCAAGATGCAAGGAGCAAATCCCTCCTTCCTGATGCTATGGGTAAGAGAAAACCGGTGTCTGCATGCATGTGCGTGCCGAGGATGGGGAATACGCCTGCATGCAAACATGCAAGCACATGTACATGAAGAATGTCCTGTCTGCTTTTACCCCAGATCCACTTACCCTTGCCTATTCTGTCCCCACCTCCATCGACCACAACAGGCACCAGTTGCCACTGCGGAGTTGGTGGGCTGGCGTAGCCCCCTTGATTAGCAGAAAACAGCCTTAGTTTTTTCCCCATACATGACAGGATTTGCCTGCTTTTAACCAAGACATTAGATTAGACGTCTCCACCCTGGTGCTCTCTGAATGTTCATGATTACAGCTCCCATCTGCCTCAACCAGCTGTGGCAATGCAACAATTCTTTGGGTGCTCAAAACTTTTCTCTGAACCAGTACTTTTCAGCATCTACAGAAAAATGGAGAACCTAATCATTTGTATAGTTAACATTTCCAGGAAAGAGTATTTCCCTTCACAGGTTACACCCTTCTTGAAATGACGTTGCCAAACTGAGGCAAGTGACGTCTCATGCAAGTTGATGCTTGCAACTGACTGGAGCTCCACAGAGAAGTTAACCTTTGTTTAAGTCCATGGTGTCATTCACGACAAGTGCCTCATGTTCTCCAAATGATCCTGCTTGTGACTATCACACAGCAAACCTGGTCTCCTATAACTGAATCACTTGGAACTACATGAAATATACTGGGAGGAAGAATACCAAGGGAGGAACCAAATATCAACATAAACCTGTAAGGGACCTTGAGGATTCTTGCCCAGACCTTACTAACCCCACCCAGACCTTACTAACCCCATTGCTAAGGAGCTGTGGGTTGCATGAAGCAGGAAGATGGTAGAAGAATGCTGTAACTGTAAAAAGGATTATTCTACTTCAGGCCCCAGGCAGGGGTTTTTGTTTTCTTTTAATGCTCCCACCAATTAAACACACACACACCCCACCACCAATCTCCATATACCAATAAGTGTCCTATTGTGATTTCCTCAAGAAAGCCCTAAATGAATGAGTTTTTTCCTTTTAAGAACCAAATACAAAAGGTAATTGGATTATGCTAAGCAAGATGACAGCCAAGACAAATAAGGAAACTGCTGATAAAACCCTGCTTCTTTAAAGAATCACAATGATTAAGAACACCATCTCCTCTGCCTCATTTTTAAGATTCACTGACATTTGAGTGACTTTGCTTTTCTTAAATCAGTATTCCACTGCCCTTGTAAAAACATTGTGCTGAAACAGGTAAAAAGCACAGACTAAGCCCATCCAATTTACATGCAAAGGTAGGGACCATCATACTTTCATGACTGAAATTAAGTTTCAGAGGTGATCCTTTACATGGTATGAATTTTAGTAACAAGAGCCCACACTGGGGACTAACGGGAGCTTTGTAATAGAAATACATGAGGACACCACATTCAAAAAACACATCAGATCCACTGCTGCTCCTACACCAAGTTGCCACAGAACAATTCTTGCAACTCATTCATGCACCCCAGTTTTAGCTAACTCCAGGAAAGAACTTCTATCAGTGCCCAAATCTGAACTGGTATTTCTCTGTCCGTTTCAACACTTGAACGCTGTGACATTCCAAAAGGATAGAGAACATTTAAGTGACATTAAGCCCTTTTGTTACTTAAGTGGTGATCAGGGGTTTAACACCTTAGGCACGTTGTGCATGGAGGACCCATTTCCAACAATCACAAGAGCCAAATTTGTAAGACTGGGATCTATCTCCTATTACACTTTGGCTAATAATACATATATTCAATTAGTTGACCTCTGCTATCTAAATACAAGAGCCTCAGAGAAGTTCTTCACATGCAAATCTTGGCACCAAGCCCTATCCAAAGAGCATGAGGGAATCCAAGGTGACTGCCTTCTGTTAGAACTTGTTTTCATAAAAAGCCATTAATTTGACTAGCTCATTAGGTACCATGCTTTGTTTTTTCTTGTTTGTGGGTCATATTAACCACAAAGAACTTCTCCTTGGAGAGCTGTATTTTGTCAAACGGTAATAACCACCTTACTAACCAAAGGAAATCAAGCAGATAAATGAAGTCTGCTGCCCCCAGACTTTCCTCTCTTCACTTCTTTCATACTGTGTGGTGCTTAATGTTTGCAATCGTTCGAGACTGTACATCCTGCTCCAGTGACCAGCAAGAAATGGACTATGGTGGTCCTGTTGCAAAGGAAAAATACTTCGCATGTCCTCAAATGCACTCTTCTTTATCACTGAATTCTAGCCCTGAAGATAAACTAACCTGAAGTGGGCAATATACAGTTCTCCAGATGTTCTTGCCTAGAATTCCCATCATCTTTCACCACTGGCTATGCTGGCTAGGGCTGATGGGAATTGTGCCTGGAAGGCCACAAGCTCCTTAGACTAAACAAAAGAGTAGAGCCCCAAAACATAAGGGAGTGGGAGGCACGCTTCAGCTAAGAACAGCTTTATTTTCCTTAATCTTCAGATTCTTGTGCATGGTAGTGGAATGCCTACAATGACACCCAAAGATATTTACACACTCACCCCTCAGAAAGACAGCTGGTGCTGCTGGTATGAGAGGATGCACCAAGTAACAATGAGATGAAGCAGAGACATTTGAAAAAGTTTGGGAAATCATATTTTTATTTAAAATGTTTTTAGTAAAGCCTTTGAGGGCACTTACAAAGTAAAAGCATAGTACAGATATAAAGGCAATGAACTAGAACAGCACACACTTTTAATTTCAGTTCAACATAAAAATAAAAATAGCAACAGCACTGAAACTACAGCTTAAAAAATGTGGACTAACGTTGATTGTCAAAGGCAGACTGAAAGAGTCAGGTTTTTAAGGCTCATTTAAATACAGCCAGAGAAGGAGCCAAATTTTCCTCCCACTGAATGGCTCTCCTTATGATGGGGAGTTCCTGCTAAAAATACCTTGATTCCAGCATGGAGTTGTAATACCTTGATTCCAGCATGGAGTTGTAATGTGCTACCGACTGTCTGCAAAAAGGTGGATCCAACTCAATGACAAACCACTAATTCAGACTTACAGATGAGCCTTAGACAGTCCCACTGGTGTCTCTTCCTTAAGTCATAACAGGCCAGATCCAGGGGCTATGTTTCCTTTTGGAGGAGGCGGGAGTTGGTTGATGGTAGCTTCCAGATGCAGATATTTACTCCCTGTAACTCTCCAAGTGAAGAAAGAATTGTTACATCCAAGATGCTTACACAGATAATTTTAAATGCATCAGTACAGACTATATGGGACTGCAGCATTTACAATCCAACCAACAACCCTTCTTCCCCCTTCCTCTTCCCCAGCCACAAAGAACCTACAGAGTCTTCGTTCATACAGAGCTCCAACAGGAGCAAGAATTCTGCTCCTCACTTGTAGAAAAAAAGCCCTTCTCTCATTGCCTTCGGCTGTGTAAGGATTCCATTGCTGTTATCAGGCTAAGCTGGTGGTGTGACATGCCAGGGAGTGCCAAGAAGCCTTATTCATATGTGCATGTGTGTGCCTGCAAGAAATTTCAGCTGGAAAGGAAGATGTGAAGTTTTACTCAGCAGGATACCCACACATGAATGTAACCTTTTAAGAATGAACAACCATCTCATTTGGCATCACAGGCAATCTCCATTTTTCTTACTCCCAACTAATTTTGTTCCTGCTTCGTCTTACGCACTTTGGGTTTTTCCCAGTACATATTAAAAAAGAACCTTGATTAGTTTGAATTATGAAACTCAATCCCTAGATTAAAGGGGCTCTGCATGCAGGCGAATGAGGGGGGGCAGCCACTTCACTTTTAGAATTCCTGGCATGCTGACTTCCTCTGTCTATAGAGACAGCTAGGCATCTGTAGCCCTTCACTAATGTTGTAAACCAGATTTTACTAAATCCCCCACTGATTCTACATAGCAGGGGAAAGGGCACTGTACAGTCTACTTCTCATTAACAAGTGTACTAGGCAGGAAATCCCTTTTTCCCTGCACAAAATTATACACTTTTTTCAGCCACATCATTCAGTTGCAATAAACAAACAAGCGATCAAAAAATCGCATAGCATCCTAAAGACCAGCAAACTGGTTGTCATACATGCTTTTGTGGGCCACTTTATCCATGCAAAAGAAGTGTGGCACAGATGAATACAGAATCCAATCAATGAGCACAAAGAAAAATCCTGGTTAACAAGCTATCTTAGTACTCACTGGCCATTGTGGGGAAATCCTCCATATCACGTGGTAGGATGATACAATCACCCACCCGACTGTTACAAGCACACCATGGCAAGTTACCACTTGCTCAATAATAGTCTGTGTTCATCCACAGGTTCAGTCTGAAACCCATTCCTGATTCTCAACTTAAAGCCCAGTATTAAGAAGCTTCTAATTTTCCAGTAAACACCACCATGTCCTAACCAACTTCATTGCTACAGGATGACATAAGGAAGACAGCACAATGCATTTTGATCAATGAAAGTAAAATCAGCATGGCTGATATTTGTTTCTTGGGGATGCTTGGAGCGCCTCACTTCTCAGGGTGGGGTAGGGGACTAGTTTTTCTGCATTTCAGTTTCACAATAGTCTACATCCCTCCCACCCCTGTACTAGCTTGCAGTTATGCTGCTGATACAACGCAGAATGAGGACATGCAGCTAAAAAAGAGATGAAACAGCAGTGCCCATTCCACTGGCTCAGCAGGTAGTTCTATCTAGTTCAAATCTGTGACATTTATATCCCATGGAGAGTCAGTGAGTGCCCCAAAGTGACTCAGTGAGCTCTGTACCCAAGTAAGGTGTAAAACCCAGGCCTCTGGGGTCCCAGTTCCACATCCCAACTACCACACCACACTGGTTCTTAACTTCCACTCCCATAACTAGTTTTCTCAGTGGGACATGCCATCTGGCCATGGCACATCCATACAAGTATGAAGAATTTATTGCCTGGATTTGTTTATTCATTGCTCCTGTATTTTCTCTATCCCATCTGCATTGTGTCTATTAGACAGTAAGCTTGTGGACAGGGGCTGCAATGATTTTTTAATTTATGTACAGTGCCTACAAAAGTTAGGTAGATTAGAAATAGTGTGTTGTATGCAACATTAACTCTAATTTAAGTCCCATTTGTTTCACTGGGTTTATTCTAAGTAGGACTAACATTAGATCTAATCCAGAATTCTCTACTGATAGAACTTCAAAGTCTTGGTGAAAGAATCAAGCAAAACCTGTATGTGGTCACTTGACTGCCGCACTCCAGCAAGGGCTATGGGGTCATTCAATGCTTTTCTTCCACAACAAGGCATTTCTTGCAGACCTCCAAGTAAGGCACCTTGGGGATTTTATTAGTACTTCACTGGTAAATATGCTCCATTTCTTCTGTAATGCTACTTTTGCAGTTACTATTCTTAGCTACGAGAGTATGACAATTGGAAAGGCAAGTTTGTTAAGAATACAGATATCATAAATATGTTTAATTTAAAAGAATCCTATGGATTTTGGCAGGACATATTTTTAGTTTTTTAATTTTTTTCAGTTCAGCCACAAATACATTTTTATAAGACTAGGTTATATATATTTACAAGTATAACTTCCAATATATATATATATATATATATATATATATATATATATATAAAGAACCATTTATTTGCATTCAATATTTGGGAACACCTTTTGCTTTTGCATAGACATTAGCAGACTAATACCTGGGGCTGGGTGAGAAAGCAAATTCTGAGGATATAACATTAGATTAAATATATTCAGGATGTAAGCTGTTATGAAATGTCATTAATTTAAACTGGCTATGGCTAGAAAAAGACTTCTGATTAACTAAGGGCACACTGCTATGCATGTTTAGGCAGAAAAAAGCCCTATAAGCACCAGCATCTCCAGCCAACCATACTTGGTGAGGCATACTGGAAAGTGCAGGTCATTTTTCTGCTGAAACTTGCATTGGATGGCACCCTAAGTGTACAGATCCTTTTTCTAAATTATGTAGATCTCAAAAGCAAACAGCTGACAAAACGTCTTAAGTACTGAATGATGCATGCATGCATGTGCCCAGAGAGCTTTGATTGTTAGGCGATACAGAAAATAAATAAATGTACCTTCAATCTGCCAAGTGTCATTGAATGTGAAGTAAAGGGGATGGAAGGCAAGTACAAATACTGGTTAAAATCAAACTGCAAACTATTACTTGATTTGCAACTTTACATTCTTTTGCTTGGCTTGATTTTAAGATGCATAGTGACTTACAATGAAATAAAGATTATCAGTGTTTATCTGTACTGGGAGGAAGGCTCAGCATTAGCATCTTCAAAATACTGAACCTAAGCATGCTCCCTCTAAAATAATACCTGCCACTGCTAGGCACTTGTAGGTGTGCACAAGGCAACCATTTTAACAATAGTAATTGAAGATGAGTAGGAGATAACTTATGAATGTACAGCAACTCACAGAGTCCTAGCAGAGAAGTCCTCCTGTGCCACTTGACACAGTGTCCATCCAAAGGCTGGCAGAATGTCAACACTGAATATTTTCCAATTTTGCACCATCGCTGACTCTATCATTGCTCAGCACTTCTGTGAAACAAAGGAAAAGGATCATCAATAAACAGCAGATTGTGCCATCTATTTCAGACACAATTCTATGCATGTTAAGGCAAGAAAAATCCTACAAGTCTCTACATTCCCCACCTAGCCATGCTGGCTGTAGGATTCTTGGAATTCTTAGGAGTTGTAGATTCTTTTCTGTCTAACTTGCACAGTATTGCACTATTAAGGAGGGATCCCCAAGTTTTTTAGAACCATGGACGTATCTGAAAATTGAGAAATTGCTGCAGACACCACTGCAAAATGTGTAATCAGTGGTTTCTTGCTTCTGTCTGTGCATCTACAGAACTTAGGCTGTGTCTTATTCAGCAAAACATTTACTTCATGTCTACTGAACACCTCCAACATCACTTTAACAAAGGTTCTGCAAATTTGGATATTCACTGATGGTGCAATACAACTAAAGTTCCTTTAAAACATGTGCAGCCCAGTAGTTGTTTCTTTTTGGGACAAGGTTATTGCACAAATATATTGTATACCAAAGCAATACTTACTATTCACTGATTAAGATGCTATTTTAATTGATTTACCTGCTTTATGGAAAATGACAAATAACCATGGTAAATAGATTCTCCATGACATTTTAATGGCTGAAAAACTGGTTTTACAGCAGTGGAAGGATAAAGGCATAAGGACTGAGGACCTTACGATGCTCTGGACAAGTGGCACATAAATACTACCTATAAATGGATATGAATTTGGATATTTAGTTTGCTTTTGCTGAAGTCTATTTGTAAGTGCTAGAATGCTGTACATATTTTATATTTATTAGTATGGATTTATACAAATCTATGTATCTATAATAAAAACCAGAAACTTAAGAAAAAAGTTTAAGTAGGTGAGCATGGGTGGCACACTTGGATCTCCTGCAGTAAAGTGCTCCCACACACAAGATGGGTGCCTTGCTAACAAAAGTAAGTCAATGGGACTTACCTTATTTAAATGGGCAGCCCTAAGTTTCCCCTATACTATTTGTACCACATGCAAATACTGCTAATTTAGGATTAAAACATGGAAGTTAATTTAAATGCATGTTGTAGCTTTTGCAGCCAACATAGCTTTTTAGATTCTTGCTGCAGAATGATATAAAACAAACTGATTTAACTTTCTCATGAGAAATGTATCTCCAGCCTGATCCTTCATTAGGAGAACCATTTGTAAACCTACTTAGAATTTTGTTTAGTAACTGTCTTCCTTCAAACTCCAACTGCAGTTTTTCTACAGAGGAGACTGCTTATCAGCTGAGGCTGGCACAAGTCTAGTCAATTCATAACCTTCCTCAACAATTAAGCAGATCAGTTATAAAACATTATTTGCTAACATGGTATTTGGGGTTCTTTTGCTTGCCCAGGTATTTGGAAACTATTGCTATCAGGATTCTTTCTGCTATCATGGAAGAATCTGAATTCTTACTTGGGAGTTAGGTCAAGCAATGAATTAGCACCAGAATGGATTCTGAAGTCTAGATGACAGTATTTGTTTCAGTTGTATTCTGCCTAATCTCCAAAAGCACAGAGGACAGAGTAGGGTACATTGGATTACAACAGAGGTGGGCAACACACCTTTTGTGGGTCACGGGGTCTCCTGTACTACTAAATTTACCGTAGTGACAAAGCAGCACCCATTTTTCTTGAAAACAAGGATGCAAGCAGAGTCATGCTCTTAGAAACCTCACGGGAACACATCTGATTGCTTTTGATTCAAAGCAAGTTGTGTTCCCCACATTTTCTAGAAAGAATTACACTTTTTTGTCACTGTTACACTGCTGAATTTCAGACACAAATATGGCAGCATGGAAGGGGCTGAGGAAAAGGGGACAACACCCGGTTGGATCCAGTGGGGATCCCAACTCCCAGAAGTTGCCAACCTGAGTTCCATCGTTATTATTCTCACAACAATCCTTTTAGGCCAAGATAGCGACTGGCTCAAGGTCTGCTAGTGCGCTTATGTCTCCCTCTTCAAGGCTCAACACATCTGCTCACATCAAGAGCATAGGAGCCATTCTGGTGCCATATTTTGTTTACACAGTGGTCTCTCAGCTGCCCACAAGCCGGACGGAAGTCCCCCAACACCTGGTGTACACAGGGATTCTGCTTCGGATACTCCAGCCTGCATTTAGTCACCTCCTACAAGAATATGCTCAACCCCCTCTTAAAGCCATTCAAATTGCTGGTCATTAGTACATCTTGTGAAAGTGAGTTCCAGAGCTGATTTATGCACTGCATGAAGATGCGCTTCCTTTTCTCTGCACTTCTTTGATCTTCCACCAATCATGGGATGGCTGCAGGTTCTAATATTATGGTGGGGGGAGAGAGAGGTGTTTCCCTATCCTTTTTCTCCTCCCATCCCCCATATATTATGTCTATTAGATATTTGCATTATGAGCTCTTTGAGTTTTATCTCAAAACTAGGAGTCTGTACTGGCCAGAAAATTGGACCCTGATTTGGAGAAGAGCCAAAATTAGGGCTGATTTTATGGCATGCAGGGTCCAAAGGCCTTGAATATCCAACATTTCCAACAAGCACGCAATGCTACACCCTCTCAGGTCCCACATACTCCACTAAACTTCTTTTAATGTTTCAGCTTTTAGGAGAGACACTTGGCAAAAAGTATTGAGCACTGAAACAGTCCTATTTTATATTACTTCACCATTCCTGCTTCAAAGCACCAGAACTGGAGAGCCCATATAAAACTAGCCATTGTTAGTCAAAGCTAGAACTGTCAGTTTAAAAAAAAATACCCCTTCCTTTCCCTTCCCCTATTCCTACCTTGTTTTTATAGGGAGAGCTTGGGGAAGTAATATATCAGTTTTGGAGGCCACACCATTGTCCAAATTGTCCCTACGTCTATGAGGGTTTGCCGTAAGCTTCAGTCAGCTCTTTAAGAATCGTGCTTCAAGTAAGACATCTCCCCAAATTTGCTAAATCCAAAACACACCTCTAAGCAAAACCATCCCAAGAGATGGCTTTGGCAATGGAATCTCTCCTTTCTCAGAAAAGAGAGAAACCTAAGCACTATTTATTTGTAATAAAGCTTCCTACGTACAAGCACAATACTCAGTCTCCTGGATCACAAACACTCCTACAGTACCTAATTCATGCTAGACAGATGCAATATAAGAAATTGCAAAGGGTTTAGAAATTATCAAGTGACTTGGTTAAGGCCACCAGTCCCTTATAATGAAAGCTTTAAATACACTCTGGAACCCAAGTATGGACATTATGGCTTGAACTCAAGTCTATGCTCACGTACCAACTCTAATCGTATGCTCTACATATTACATGCAAATGAGTTCAGAAACTTCTAAGAGACTTCTCACTGGCCATGGTGGTTGGAGATCAGAGCTGAAATCCAATGGATCTGGAAGGTACCAAGGTTGGGACAACTACTCTACTGGAGAGGGTCAGTTACCACATTGCACTTCAAGTGGAAAAATGTTCCACTGCAATATTATTCCCTTTAGTAGCAGACTCAGCTAGTTGAGTGCCAATCAGATTGGAAGGAAAATAGGGCCACAGTCACCCAAAAGGGGCTTCAACATACTCAGTGGAAGCTCTAGGTATGCAAGGGCACATATGCTTGTGAAATTAATGGAAACCACTATAAACAAACCTGTGAACTAACAGAATGTGAGTGCTAAATGTGAGTAGCAGGCAAAACAGCGAAGGGGAGGGGGGGAAAGAGAGAGGAATGCCCAAGAAAGCAAAACTTTGGTAGACTGTACCCCTATGCAGGCATTTAGACTGCACACAGGAAGGCTGAAAGAATGGGTAAGGTAATGCCAGCAAGCCCCAATATCCCAGGAAGTGCTAGCCCCATTCTCTGTTTTGGACCTCACTGCACTGAATTGTAAGGGTGGGATTGTTACGGACAGGACTGGCACGAGATTATTATGTTATGTTATGGCATGCATACTTTTGCCCCACCACCCCTTTAGCTCCCCATAGGGGCTGCCCTTAAAGACAGTCCGGATACTTCAACTGGTTCAAAACAGAGCCGCCAGATTGCTGTCAGGGGCCAGTTCTTATTCTCATATAACACCGGTCCTCTATCAGCTTCACTGGCTTTCCATTGAAGCCTGGACCCAATTTAAGGGGCTGGTATTGACCTATAAAGCCCTAAACAGCTTGAGACCAGGATAACTAAAGGAATGTCTTTTTCCCTACATGCCCTCACACCCCTTAAGATTTGCAGCAGAGGCCGTGCTCCAGGAACCCTCCTTGAAGGAGGTTAGGAGAGAATATACTCAGAGGAGGGCCTTTTCTGCGGTGGCACCCCAGCTATGGAATGCGCTCCCCAGAAAGGTCCGCCTTGCACCGATGTTATGTGCTTTTTGGCGCCAGGTCAAGACCTCTTTATTTTCCCATAATTTCAATGTTTAAATATTTTAACTATGTTTAATGCTCAGTTGTGGATTATGGGTTTGTTTTTACTGTGTGTTTAATTTGTAAGCCATCCAGAGACATGCAATGTAATTGGATACCCAAATACATAAATGTGAGGGCTGAGGCCCATCCAGCCCCAACCCTGCCATCTTTTCAGTATCAAGTTATAACTGCCCTCTATTCTCAGCATATGAAGAGTTATGTCTGTTTAAATTAGGCCTGGTTTTTAATGAAAATATTCAGATGCTTAAACAGTTTTATATTTTTGTACACTGGAATTTTAGCTGTTTTAAATTTGCATTCTTTGTTTGATTTGTCTTATATCTTTTGCACTTGATCAATTGTTGTGAACTGCCCAGAGAACATAAGCTATTGGCTAGCATAGGAATAGATAAATACACAGAACTTGTGAGTCTACCAGTTAAGCCTCACAGATGGCATACTTTTGAGATACTTATTTATTAGATTTATAACCCACTTTTTTCCAATGAACTCAAAGTGGCCTACATAAGTCTCTTCCTCCTGCTCTCAATATAATCCCCACAACAGCCACTCTGTGCCAGTTGGAAGAATAAATATAAGGAGGATGCAGTGGAAGGGAGGGAGGCACAGACAAAACTGACCTGCTTGAGTCTCTTACAGGTTATAGAAACAAGCCTCATGCCATGAGGTTAAGAAATTCCCCATGCACTACACAGGGATATTTATGAATGAATGCAGGCAATGCGGGAATGAAAGAACTGCTAGGAACTATAACATGTTCAGGTCTGAGGATGACCTAATGCTACGCAGAGCAGTCCTGGGGAAGATAGGGTGTGTGAACCCCAAATTTTTGTTGCCAGACCCACTCATACTACATCCTACAGCAAAATAAGAAGGGACCAGGTTTCCACGTTATGACATCAGGAGAAAGGACAGTTTTGGAATTGTGTCTGCTTGCTCAATGCCTGTTAATTTGCAGCTAGTAAGATGAAAAGAAGTTGGGATTTTTGCACCTTTAATAGGTATTGAGAAAACAAAATTTCAGTAGGTGCCACTTTTCAACTTATCAGACAAGTTGCATCTACCCAAACACTAGCATACAACTAATAAAAGGTGCAGGAGCTCCAACCTCTTCTTCGCATCTGGTCTTCCTATACAGTATCAGCAAATTCCAAACAAGACAGTCCCTTTACCACACCAGATTATGAATCCATCTCTATTAATCTGCTATAATGCAGACAACTACAGAAGCCCAAAACATAAAATAAGTGCAGAATGGGACACACATGATCTCATCTGCAGCCCACACATCAAGCCATGGGGACCTCTAACATACGTATGTCCAATATATTATCAAGGATATGTAGGCGTTACTTTTCTTGCCTGTGTTTAGAAAACCAGTTAGAAAAGAAATGTCCATTGAACAGATAAATGAGCATTTTCTAAATACTTTTATTTGAAGGGGACGTAGCTCACACGTGTTACATACAGAAGATGTCACGGCTTGGAAATATCCTTCCAGCCACCCTAGAAAGCCTCCTTCCCACCAGTAAGTGTTAAAAATAGGTGCATATTCTGACAGCATACGGCAGCTTCCCGGATTCCTATGCTATTCTTAAGTAAAAGGTTAAATACAGAGGGAACCCCCCCCCGAAACTATTAAATAACCCTTAAAACACCTACTCCCTGCATCCACTCATTCCACTTCTGTCCTAAAAGCAGTCCAGGATTCTGATAAAAATCATTAAAATACGTCAAGCGCTACAGAAATAGTTCGAATATATTTTACGACGCTTAGGGCTGCTGTATGGCAGAGCGCGTCTACCTTTAACAATCAAACAGGACAATATAATGCAATCCACCTGGGCAGTTTTCCCCATCAGTACGTCGCCAGCTTCGTGCAACTGCACCTGTTGACCTGCTGCAATTGAGGCAGCTGTTAAAGAAGCCGGAGCCCGGGCAGAAAAAGCCGGCGGGCTCGACCGTTCACAGCGAACAGCCTTCTCTCGCCTTTCCCAAAGGCAAACCAGCTCGCCCGCCCGCCCCCCACGAGGCCGCTTACCCCGTCTTTCCTCTACCCGAGCAGCGCTGCTTCTCCACCAGTCGACGCGGCTGGAAAGAGTAGGCCAAAGAGGAAACGAGATTGCAAGCAGCTGCAGCTCCCGCTTGCACCGCCTTCCCGCCAGGCACACCGCACCATTCAAACACCGCTAGCAGCCGCCGCTGCCGCCTGTCTCTACCCGGTGGGAGGGGGCGCGCAAGGAAACCACGCCCGAGGAGCGCTGGCGAGCAGCAGCCTAACCCGACTGCGATCGGCGGAATCTCTGGGTTAAGTTGTACGTAGGGTGCAAAGTTTGAAGATGGGCGCGTTTCATTAAGAGAGAAGAGAGGCGAGGCGGATAGGAAGCAAAACAAGGCAAGCAACGCACACGTGGCTCGCGAAAGGGACGGAGGTCGGAAGCAAAGCGAGAGTCCGGAATTGGAGCACTTGCATGAGCCGCGAAAAGACTGGCTCTGCAAACCTATGCTGACTCCGAGGAAATTCACACCTGGCGTTCTTCAAGAAATCTCTGCTACGCGGCGCAGCAAAGAATTCTGTGGCAGCTTGAAGACGAAGGCATTTCTTCTGACACGTCCCTCCTCCTTTGGTGCACCATAGCCCGCTTGATCTGATAAGCACCCATAAAAACAATAAACACGCATTAATTTGCCCTCTTGCTGTGTTGCAAGGCGGTTTATGCCCCTTTCTCGGAAAGTGTGTTTTAAAGGACAGCTTTGCTGCCCAATAAAATATTACTGCCTTGCAGCCCCACCCGCTCCATATTTACTTTCCAGGGATTCTCAGCGAAGTTCAATGGGGCGCTTCCTCGTAATTGTGCTTTGGATCGCAACCAGCTGCCTTTCTGATCCTATATGTATGTTTACAGGCAAGTAAGCTCCAATGTATTCAATTGGACTTTCTGGAAAGGAGTAATAGGACTTTAGTTTACGACCTGATATACAACCCACGAAGTTCAGTGGTAGGTTTTTACGTGGCTGTGTCTTAGGCGGTAAGCGTTCTTGAAAGGGAAAATGCAGTAGTTTCTAAGATGGCTTTCCCCAACCTGGTGCTCTCAAGATCTATTGGGAAACTTCATTTGCTCATTTGTCTTGGTAGCAGTGACTGATGAGTCTTTTAGTCCAAAACATCTCGAAAGCATCAGTTTGGAGACGCCTACCGTGTGTTTAATAGAAGTTACACTAAACAACTGTCGAACAGCATTGGCTCCCCTACCGCCCCGTGTTTCAGTGCCGCCGAAATAACTGCACAACAGGCAGAAATTCAGCTGCTGCGGCTGCTCACCTCTCCCCCCCCCCCCCCCCCCGCGTGCTGAAAATTGTTTCAGCTAGTGATATTCTGCTATACAGCTGTTAATGGCCCGGGAAGCCCTATCAGAAAATGACCCTATTGATTGCAAGCTCTTGGTAAGCTCTTTTTTTCCTCAAAGGATCATTGGAGAGATCAGAGTCAGGGTTCAACGGGAAGACCCGTTTTCACACCGGATACACTTTTACAATTTGAAATAGTAATTAAAAGTGTACTCCTGAGCATGGGATGAATGCATTTTCCATGCCACGGAGCGATGCCACTCACACTTCCCGTGCCAGCAGGCCACCGAGAGCGAGGTTTGCGTGCATCTTTCGGTTTCGAAATGAAGTTGCGTCCTTGCCACGCCTTTGCTCCCGGTTCAGCAAAGCACAGACGATTGCGGGCCTCTCAAGGACGGTGTTAATTTGCGCCCGCTGCAACTACTCCGATTGTACAAATAATTCTAAGGAAGCAATGGGTAGTGCACCTCCAACTTCCCTGGTTAGTGGTTATTAACCTCCAGGGAAATTTAATAACCTGCTTCACAGGGTTGTGGTATAAATGTGTGCAATTCGGGGTGGGGAATTACCCTTTATTCTGTGTACCTCAAGAGTACATCACTTTCAAGGTATTTAGAAAGTTGGAATGCAACAAAGGATTCTCCAATTACTGGGAACATTAGAAAGGGAAAAGTTTAAGGCCCTGTGTAGAAATTAGGGTCATACATTTAGCCCCTAAAACTTAGAGAATGCAGATGTTTAACTTAGCCCAAAACTGCTTGCTGGTGACATTTACCACATAACAGAGGCCAGTGTGAACTGGGCTTCAAGAAATCCTGGTTCTAGTCTCCAGTCAGCCACAAAACTCACTGGGTGACATTGGGCCAGTTACTGATTCTCAGTCTAATCTAGCAACCAGGGCTGTTATGAGAATAATATTGAAAAGAGGTGTGGGTGCCTTGAATTCCTTGAAGGAAAATAAAATATAAGGATATGGAGTAATGATTGAAAATGCAGGACTGGGACTTAGGCAATTTGAGATTTAGTCCCTGCTCAGCCATGGAGCCAGCTGGGTGACTTTGGGCCAGTCATAGACTCTCAGTCCAACCTACCTCAAAGGGTGGTTGTTGTGGAGATGCTTGAGAATGATGTAAGCCACTTTAAGCTCTTCAAAAGAAAAAAAGTGAGATATAATTCTAATAACATAAGGAAATAAAAATAGAGGAAGCCAGGTTGCCTGTATCATATAGGAAGAGGAAGTACTTCCAGTGGCAGCCCAAAACATAGTCTTATGCATGTAGAAGACAAACTTCATTTGCTACTGTTTCTATGCCACCATATCTAGGCCTTCACCTCTCATGTAGAAGAGAAACAAATGGAGAAGATACTTTAAGCATACATTGAAAGTTGAAATTTGCCTTTTAAAAGTTGAAATCCAACACACCCTCTTTACAGAAAAATCTAAAACTGAGACATTGCCCTTCTGTCCCTTGAGACTCAGAACAAGAAGAATGCCTCATAACTGGTGAAGCAAAACAAAAAAGGATAAAAGACATGTCAAAATGGTATAGGAAAACAATGTTTATATAAAAGAATGCCCAATTTGTTTTGCTAAATGCTTTCTACAGGGGCAAAGGAATGCAGTATTCCTGTTTAAGCTGCATCTCCCTGTCAGAACCTTCTGGTGGTCAGACATTTTTCAGTTATGTCAAATTTACTTTTTCAGTGCCTTTTTGAGCGTTAGCTGTGCCTGTATGTTTAGTGCTGCCCTTCTTTCTTTCTTTGTCTCGGAACTGGCCAGTACTGGCCCTTTAAGCTGGTTTAAGAGCTCCCCTGACAGACATTTCCAGCCATGCATGGAGGAGGGGGAATTGGAACACGCATCCCTCCAAGGAGGACAACCCACACACATTCGGGATGCTCCTCCATTCACAGCCTTCTAATCAGAAGAGGGCCTTTGCAGTGGCCACCAGGAATGTGCCTTTGTTTTTGCTGACTGCAAGCTGCACATACATAAACACGCAGCTTTGTTTCGCGGGAACAGGAACAGCAGCTTTTTGCTGGATGGCAATGTAGCTGCGCCTCAGACTTGGTGATTTCTTGTGTAATTTGGCCTGATAGCTCATGTTTTGAAGGGAATGATGAAGAAACTGCAGCAACAGCAGCTCCATCGCTGGCAAGCAGACAGCTCACCGCCTGGTAGCTGAAGGTGTTCTCAGCGGATCAATCTAAACAGAGCCTCTCCTGCTGGTTGCTCCCCCAGGGGAGAGGAGGAGGGAAAGGGAGGGGATGTGAAAGTGGGTCAGGAATGTAACCAGACTCTATCCACTTCCCCGTTCTGTCGGTGCAGCGCTGCCTTAGTAATGGAAAGCAAGCACCTCTCCACTGAGGCTCCCCCAGCTTGCTGGCTGGTGGTTACCAGGGAATTGTGCAGGGCGTGTTTCCCTGTGACCCTTGGAGGAGGAGGAGAAAAAAAACTTGGTTGCCTCAGAAACCAAGTTCAGTTTGGATGCAATGATGCAGCAAATATCCCTAGGTGAGTATTTCTAAGTGGAGGAGGAAAAAGCTGAGAGTAGTGAGGCCAAAGTGGTGCTGAAACTCAGAAGCAAGCAGCTTTCTGCTCGTGAGGCCATGTGCCTGAAAACAGGAACCTTCCTACTTGCTGTGCTAAATTCTCATTTGCTGGTTTCCTGCCTGGATGGATGAATTTGAAAGTAGTTTCAGGAATGAAGTGCCATTTTTCTGTGCCTGGTAGACACACCCTCAGAGCTGGCCAAATGAACACATTACAGTACAGGGCCTTGAGCATTTCTTGAAAAGCTGGTTAGACAAATCATCTTATGTTTGGGGAAAGAAAAGAAAAAATGCATAGCCTGAAAAGTCTCTCTCTGGTTTAATGCTGCAAGGTCTTTTCTCCTCTGGCTGATGGATTAGACCTGGAGCCCTAGAACTGGATTGAAAAGGAGTGGATGCAAGTCTTGCTCATTTGAGAAACTCATTGCTAGTGCACACTTAATCTGAGGTTAGACCTGTTATAATCACTCTTTCCTTTGGAAGAGAAAAATATTCCAGGCTTGCAGAGTTCTTTTTAAAACTTTATTGCAATGAAGGGAACAGAAAAGAATGGTTTCCTTCCCATTTTTCTGTTCACCTGAGCACATGTTCACCCCACCCCCTTTGAACCCTGCTCCTGGCTGCTTGTTCCCTCCTTCTTTCCCCTAATTGGCTAATAGGGTACTGAGAGTTTACACTCTTTCTGCCTGTCTACTCCGCACTGCCCCAACACAGGCCCTTCTTCCCAATCCAGCCCTGCCCCCTGTGGGCTACGATAGGCTCATTTTGTTCTGCCCAGCTTGTCAATAAACAATCAGGAAGGATTTGGTCCTCCTGCCTCCATGCCTGTTTCCCCATACCTTGTGCTATCTGATTTTAGCCCCTCCCCTCTGGACTAAGTAATTTTCTTTGTTACTCTTTTAAATCTCCTTACTCCCTTGTTTCAAATCATCCTTTCATAACTATCAGACTGCTTGTGCTCAAAGACAAGCAAGGAAGATTGTAGTTTAGGTCATTTTGCTCAAACACATTTTTTCAACCTAGTTCACCTCAAAACTTCCTTGTGATAATAAAATGCATGCTGCCTCTGAGGTTCTTGGAGGATACAAGTGTAATAAAGAATCACTGTTAAGGTGACAAAACTTTAAAAAGAGAGCCTTTATTTCTGAATATCCATTAGTGTATGCATGGTGCAAAGGGGTGTGGAAAGACAGGTGCTTTTCTCCCTTTCTTAAAACTACTAGCACCTACAACCACAAGAATGTAAAAAGCTGCCTTATGTCAGTCTGTTGGTCCATCAAGCTCAGTACACTGGCTGGGGAGTGCTAACATGCCTGGAGGACACTAGGTTGAAGAAGGCCAGGGTTTTACACAGATGGCTTTCCAAGCTCCACTAGGAGGGGAAGCATAAGCTCTACACAGCATAAGCTCTACCACTATGCTGTGGAGCATCACTCAGCTAATTAAGCCAATTGAAGAAGAGAGATTCTGAAGTGAGAAAAGGAAGTACAATGCATTATTTCTAGAATTCACTGCTTAAAGATAGTTGGCTCCAACCTGCTTTAAAAGATTAGATATGTGAGACAAGTCTGCCTGTAGCTACAGGTCATGATC